TAGGTTTTAGACCTTGTTTAATACAGGTTCAGTTAGTTCTAGTCGCCCTATCCTTTGACCAGGGAGCGCCCCGTTAAGGCCAGTCAAGCCGGTTGCCGTGTAATAGCCGTTTCGTTTTTACACCAGAAAGGACCCCCTCACCTCGTCCAGCCCCTGACCAGTATTTCTATTTCAGTAAACACGCCCCGGTTTGCAGAAAGGACCCCCTCACCTCGTCCAGCCCCTGACCAGTATTTCTAATTCAGTAAACACGCCCCGGTTTGCAGAAAGGACCCCCTCACCTCGTCCAGCTCCTGACCAGTATTTCTAATTCAGTAAACACGCCCCGGTTTGCAGAAAGGACCCCTCACCTCGTCCAGCCCCTGATCAGTATTTCTATTTCAGTAAACACGCCCCGGTTTGCAGAAAGGACCCCCTCACCTCGTCCTGCCCCTGACCAGTATTTCTATTTCAATAAACACGCCCCGGTTTGCAGAAAGGACCCCCTCACCTCGTCCAGCCCCTGACCAGTATTTCTAATTCAGTAAACACGCCCCGGTTTGCAGAAAGGACCCCCTCACCTCGTCCAGCTCCTGACCAGTATTTCTAATTCAGTAAACACGCCCCGGTTTGCAGAAAGGACCCCTCACCTCGTCCAGCCCCTGATCAGTATTTCTATTTCAGTAAACACGCCCCGGTTTGCAGAAAGGACCCCCTCACCTCGTCCTGCCCCTGACCAGTATTTCTATTTCAGTAAACACGCCCCGGTTTGCAGAAAGGACCCCCTCACCTCGTCCAGCCCCTGACCAGTATTTCTAATTCAGTAAACACGCCCCGGTTTGCAGAAAGGACCCCCTCACCTCGTCCAGCTCCTGACCAGTATTTCTAATTCAGTAAACACGCCCCGGTTTGCAGAAAGGACCCCTCACCTCGTCCAGCCCCTGATCAGTATTTCTATTTCAGTAAACACGCCCCGGTTTGCAGAAAGGACCCCCTCACCTCGTCCTGCCCCTGACCAGTATTTCTATTTCAATAAACACGCCCCGGTTTGCAGAAAGGACCCCCTCACCTCGTCCAGCCCCTGACCAGTATTTCTATTTCAGTAAACACGCCCCGGTTTGCAGAAAGGACCCCCTCACCTCGTCCAGCCCCTGACCAGTATTTCTAATTCAGTAAACACGCCCCGGTTTGCAGAAAGGACCCCCTCACCTCGTCCAGCTCCTGACCAGTATTTCTAATTCAGTAAACACGCCCCGGTTTGCAGAAAGGACCCCTCACCTCGTCCAGCCCCTGATCAGTATTTCTATTTCAGTAAACACGCCCCGGTTTGCAGAAAGGACCCCCTCACCTCGTCCTGCCCCTGACCAGTATTTCTATTTCAATAAACACGCCCCGGTTTGCAGAAAGGACCCCCTCACCTCGTCCAGCCCCTGACCAGTATTTCTATTTCAGTAAACACGCCCCGGTTTGCAGAAAGGACCCCCTCACCTCGTCCAGCCCCTGATCAGTATTTCTATTTCAGTAAACACGCCCCGGTTTGCAGAAAGGACCCCCTCACCTCGTCCAGCCCCTGACCAGTATTTCTATTTCAGTAAACACGCCCCGGTTTGCAGAAAGGACCCCCTCACCTCGTCCAGCCCCTGACCAGTATTTCTATTTCAGTAAACACGCCCCGGTTTGCAGAAAGGACCCCCTCACCTCGTCCAGCCCCTGACCAGTATTTCTATTTCAGTAAACACGCCCCGGTTTGCAGAAAGGACCCCCTCACCTCGTCCTGCCCCTGACCAGTATTTCTATTTCAGTAAACACGCCCCGGTTTGCAGAAAGGACCCCCTCACCTCGTCCAGCCCCTGACCAGTATTTCTATTTCAGTAAACACGCCCCGGTTTGCAGAAAGGACCCCCTCACCTCGTCCAGCCCCTGATCAGTATTTCTATTTCAGTAAACACGCCCCGGTTTGCAGAAAGGACCCCCTCACCTCGTCCAGCCCCTGTCCAGTATTTCTATTTCAGTAAACACGCCCCGGTTTGCAGAAAGGACCCCCTCACCTCGTCCAGCCCCTGACCAGTATTTCTATTTCAGTAAACACGCCCCAGTTTGCAGAAAGGACCCCCTCACCTCGTCCAGCCCCTGATCAGTATTTATATTTCAGTAAACACGCCCCGGTTTGCAGAAAGGACCCCCTCACCTCGTCCAGCCCCTGATCAGTATTTATATTTCAGTAAACACGCCCCGGTTTGCAGAAAGGACCCCCTCACCTCGTCCAGCCCCTGACCAGTATTTCTATTTCAGTAAACACGCCCCGGTTTGCAGAAAGGACCCCCTCACCTCGTCCAGCCCCTGATTAGTATTTCTATTTCAGTAAACACGCCCCGGTTTGCAGAAAGGACCCCCTCACCTCGTCCAGCCCCTGACCAGTATTTCTATTTCAGTAAACACGTCCCGGTTTGCAGAAAGGACCCCCTCACCTCGTCCAGCCCCTGACCAGTATTTCTATTTCAGTAAACACGCCCCGGTTTGCAGAAAGGACCCCCTCACCTCGTCCAGCCCCTGATTAGTATTTCTATTTCAGTAAACACGCCCCGGTTTGCAGAAAGGACCCCCTCACCTCGTCCAGCCCCTGATCAGTATTTATATTTCAGTAAACACGCCCCGGTTTGCAGAAAGGACCCCCTCACCTCGTCCAGCCCCTGATCAGTATTTATATTTCAGTAAACACGCCCCGGTTTGCAGAAAGGACCCCCTCACCTCGTCCAGCCCCTGACCAGTATTTCTATTTCAGTAAACACGCCCCGGTTTGCAGAAAGGACCCCCTCACCTCGTCCAGCCCCTGATTAGTATTTCTATTTCAGTAAACACGCCCCGGTTTGCAGAAAGGACCCCCTCACCTCGTCCAGCCCCTGACCAGTATTTCTATTTCAGTAAACACGCCCCGGTTTGCAGAAAGGACCCCCTCACCTCGTCCAGCCCCTGACCAGTATTTCTATTTCAGTAAACACGCCCCGGTTTGCAGAAAGGACCCCCTCACCTCGTCCAGCCCCTGACCAGTATTTCTATTTCAGTAAACACGCCCCGGTTTGCAGAAAGGACCCCCTCACCTCGTCCAGCCCCTGACCAGTATTTCTATTTCAGTAAACACGCCCCGGTTTGCAGAAAGGACCCCCTCACCTCGTCCAGCCCCTGACCAGTATTTCTATTTCAGTAAACACGCCCCGGTTTGCAGAAAGGACCCCCTCACCTCGTCCAGCCCCTGATTAGTATTTCTATTTCAGTAAACACGCCCCGGTTTGCAGAAAGGACCCCCTCACCTCGTCCAGCCCCTGACCAGTATTTCTATTTCAGTAAACACGCCCCGGTTTGCAGAAAGGACCCCCTCACCTCGTCCAGCCCCTGATCAGTATTTCTATTTCAGTAAACACGTCCCGGTTTGCAGAAAGGACCCCCTCACCTCGTCCAGCCCCTGACCAGTATTTCTATTTCAGTAAACACGCCCCGGTTTGCAGAAAGGACCCCCTCACCTCGTCCAGCCCCTGACCAGTATTTCTATTTCAGTAAACACGCCCCGGTTTGCAGAAAGGACCCCCTCACCTCGTCCAGCCCCTGATTAGTATTTCTATTTCAGTAAACACGCCCCGGTTTGCAGAAAGGACCCCCTCACCTCGTCCAGCCCCTGACCAGTATTTCTATTTCAGTAAACACGCCCCGGTTTGCAGAAAGGACCCCCTCACCTCGTCCAGCCCCTGATCAGTATTTCTATTTCAGTAAACACGTCCCGGTTTGCAGAAAGGACCCCCTCACCTCGTCCAGCCCCTGACCAGTATTTCTATTTCAGTAAACACGCCCCGGTTTGCAGAAAGGACCCCCTCACCTCGTCCAGCCCCTGACCAGTATTTCTATTTCAGTAAACACGCCCCGGTTTGCAGAAAGGACCCCCTCACCTCGTCCAGCCCCTGACCAGTATTTCTATTTCAGTAAACACGCCCCGGTTTGCAGAAAGGACCCCCTCACCTCGTCCTGCCCCTGACCAGTATTTCTATTTCAGTAAACGCGCCCCGGTTTGCAGAAAGGACCCCCTCACCTCGTCCAGCCCCTGACCAGTATTTCTATTTCAGTAAACACGCCCCGGTTTGCAGAAAGGACCCCCTCACCTCGTCCAGCCCCTGACCAGTATTTCTATTTCAGTAAACACGCCCCGGTTTGCAGAAAGGACCCCCTCACCTCGTCCAGCCCCTGATCAGTATTTCTATTTCAGTAAACACGTCCCGGTTTGCAGAAAGGACCCCCTCACCTCGTCCAGCCCCTGACCAGTATTTCTATTTCAGTAAACACGCCCCGGTTTGCAGAAAGGACCCCCTCACCTCGTCCAGCCCCTGACCAGTATTTCTATTTCAGTAAACACGCCCCGGTTTGCAGAAAGGACCCCCTCACCTCGTCCAGCCCCTGACCAGTATTTCTATTTCAGTAAACACGCCCCGGTTTGCAGAAAGGACCCCCTCACCTCGTCCTGCCCCTGACCAGTATTTCTATTTCAGTAAACGCGCCCCGGTTTGCAGAAAGGACCCCCTCACCTCGTCCAGCCCCTGACCAGTATTTCTATTTCAGTAAACACGCCCCGGTTTGCAGAAAGGACCCCCTCACCTCGTCCAGCCCCTGACCAGTATTTCTATTTCAGTAAACGCGCCCCGGTTTGCAGAAAGGACCCCCTCACCTTGTCCTGCCCCTGACCAGTATTACTATTTCAGTAAACACGCCCCGGTTTGCAGAAAGGACCCCCTCACCTCGTCCAGCCCCTGACCAGTATTTCTATTTCAGTAAACACGCCCCGGTTTGCAGAAAGGACCCCCTCACCTCGTCCTGCCCCTGATCAGTATTTCTATTTCAGTAAACACGCCCCGGTTTGCAGAAAGGACCCCCTCACCTCGTCCAGCCCCTGACCAGTATTTCTATTTCAATAAACACGCCCCGGTTTGCAGAAAGGACCCCTCACCTCGTCCAGCCCCTGATCAGTATTTCTATTTCAGTAAACACGCCCCGGTTTGCAGAAAGGACCCCCTCACCTCGGCCAGCCCCTGACCAGTATTTTCCAGCTGTTAAACCATCAGGACCATCTTTTTCTTTCGGACACAAGCTCGGGGAAGGAAGTGAGAATATTTAAAAAAACATTCCGTTAAAATTTATGTTATTATAGTAACCATAGTAACCATAGTAACTATAGTAACTATTATTATAGAGGTATCTGGTAAAATCTAATGTTGGGTTTCTAGAACAGCTTCCTTACTATAGTTACTATGGTTACTATAGTCACTATAGTTACTACAGTTACTATATAGTTACTAGCTTTCTGTATTTCTCAGTAAATGAAGTTGGTCCTGGTAGAACGAGTTGGGAAAAGACTTGGTTTGCTTCTTCTGATGTGTGGAAAATAAAAACAGACTTTGAAAAAAAAGTAAGATGTTTAATTATTATAATATTGTCACTTCAGTGCAATATATCGAGATTTTATTTGTCTGGCTCACTCAATGTCAAATCATGTGCTCGAAATGTTCAAGGTTATCATCCAGCATAAATAAGAAAATTATGAGCAAATTTAGTTAGGAATTGTAAAATTTCACACGATTTGTCATTTTCGTCGAATCTTGATCTTTGGCGTGATATTTTGTGATGACAATTTAAATTGCTTTCTATAAAATTAATTTCCTATCAGTGGCCAGAGATTGGAAGTCACGAGTGTGAACTAAACTTTATGGGGAAAAGACTTCCGTTTCTCAGAGCTGGACCTTCCCCCTCTTTCGGGGCCAAGTTGCTGGACATTGCCTTCAAGAAAAGTTAGTTGTTGCTACGGTAACTAAAAATCGCAAAATTTGTTAATAGTTTATATGATAGGGCATGGTTCGTGAAGAATGCAGAAGTATCACTAAAGAAATATGCGTGTAGAATGTAGATCTTACATGGTTACAACAATTTCTGTAGCGTCTTAAATAGATTACCTGAGAGCACGAGGAAAACAAAGCAGGGCCCATAAACTATTAAGTATGAACATTTTCCTAATATAATATAAATCGTGTCAGCTCTGTGTCATTGTTAATAATATAATAACGATGTGTTGGCCAAAACGTTCAGTGTAGTATTAAAGTACTAATCTTAGTATCAACAATAACATAAACTGCCTTTGAAGTGATGATTTCAATATCATAATGCATGCTATAAGATATCACCACCATAGTAGCGACCAGTTCTTTAATCTTTTATACCCGTGAATTTAATATACGGTGTGGGAATCAAAGTTTGATCCATGGAAACTCGTCGGTAAATAAAATGTTAATCTTGTTAAAATTCATACCGGAAATAGAGAGGAACGAACTTTCAATTTCAGCGTGCCATTTTCTAAGAATTGTGAATGCATCCACTGCATCTATTGCATTTTTGTAGAATTATCGTGTGGCGCGAAATAGATATTATTATACAAAATACAGCGCGCAGCATCCACCATAGCAACAATGATGATCGATAGGGCAAGGCATTCTCAGTTGACACATTAACCACACTTGACCCTATTGAAGTAGGGTGGAATATAAATAAAATTTCAACCAGTCTCGAATTTCAGTTCTTACTGAACTATCCTTGCAGAAGAAGCTGTGCCGAGTCCGATGGCCTACAATACAGGGGGCTCAGTGAAACATCTTTACAAAGCTTCTCCTAGCTTCACTATCGTCAGGAAGGATTACTCGCAAGAACGCTGGGTCAAGAACAGTAAGTTTAGCTAACATATAAACATATTATAAAGGAGCAGCTATATAGCTAACATATAAAGGTAGATAAATCATAGCTATAGACACTATTCTGCGTTAACACGATTGACTGTGGTTACCTTACATTTTAAATCTGAGCATAACAAGCACTTGATCTTGTTATATGCTCACTCCCTCCAGGAGAAGTGTATATATTTCACTATATTTCACTGTATTTCACTATATTTCACTGTATTTCACTATATTTTACTGCATTTCACTATATTTTACTGTATTTCACTGTATTTCACTATATTTTACTGCATTTCACTATATTTTACTGTATTTCATTGTATTCCACTGTATTTCACTGTATTTCACTATATTTTACTGTATTTCACTGTATTTCACTATATTTTACTGCATTTCACTATATTTTACTGTATTTCACTGTATTTCACTATATTTTACTGCATTTCACTATATTTTACTGTATTTCATTGTATTCCACTATATCTCACTATATTTCACTGTATTTCACTGTATTTCACTGTATTTCACTACCTCCACTCTCTTCAGAAGAAGTACCTGGACCGGGACAGTACGCTCCGAACGTAAAAGCTGTCAAACCTAAAACTCCAGCATTCTCCTTCGCCAGACCCTCTCCTACCTTCATCCAACCCTGCTCTTAGGTAATGGTTACTAAGGTTACCAAGATAATGGTTACCAAGAGAACGGAGTGATCAACATTACTTGGTGTTAAAATTTGTGTCAGACTTCCAATATCAGATTCAAACATTTAAGAGTTCCCTGTTTAAAAGATGTCATCACTGCCAAATAAAACCACAGATTTTCTTGAGATTTATGAAGACTTTTTACTTACAAATAATCTTTGTCAGCTTCAATGATTTTTCTCATTTGCTTGATTTCTGATAATGAATAAAGAGTGTTATTTTTTACTAATCAAAAATTAAGACATGTTTTAAAAGACATACAATAAAAGGTATACAGGTAATAAAAGACAAGTGCTTACCTAGATCTCCTACCTCCAAAACATCGGTTGTTGTCAAAATAGAAATTAGCACTATTACAGTGCACTTGCTGATGAGGCAGGGAAAAGTACGTGTGTTGCTATGGTAACTGTTGGTGTGTTGGTGTAGGCGGCGGGTTGATTAGTGCTAATTAATACTAATTTTAATGGGGAGTCAGCAGGAAGCTGCTGATTAGTTCTACTTTCTCTCCGGCCAGTCCTTGAGCGACTCACGGTTCTGCAATGTAGTGCTAGTGTTACTATGGATACAGTAGTGTTACTATGGATACCTGTATTTGTGCTACGGTTACTATGGATACCTGTTATATTTGTGCTACTGTCACTATGGATACCTATATTTGTGCTACTGTTACTATGGATACCTGTATTTTTGCTACTGTTACTATGGATACCTGTATTTTTGCTACTGTTACTATGGATACCTGTATTTGTGCTAGTGTTACTATGGATACCTGTATTTTTGCTACTATTACTATGGATACCTGTATTTGTGCTAGTATTACTATGGATACCTGTATTTTTGCTACTGTTACTATGGATACCTGTATTTTTGCTACTGTTACTATGGATACCTGTATTTTTGCTACTGTTACTATGGATACCTGTATTTTTGCTACTGTTACTATGGATACCTGTATTTGTGCTACTGTTACTATGGATACCTATATTTGTGCTACTGTTACTATGGATACCTGTATTTTTGCTACTGTTATTATGGATACTTGTATTTTTGCTACGGTTACTATGGATACCTGTATTTGTGCTAGTGTTACTATGGATACCTGTATTTTTGCTACTATTACTATGGATACCTGTATTTGTGCTAGTATTACTATGGATACCTGTATTTTTGCTACTGTTACTATGGATACCTGTATTTTTGCTACTGTTACTATGGATACCTGTATTTTTGCTACTGTTACCTTACCATGTATATTTGTATTTTTGCTACTGTTAAGTGTTACTATGGATACTTGTATTTTTGCTACTGTTAATATAGATACTTGTATTTTTGCTACTGTTACTATGGATACTTGTATTTTTTGCTACTGTTACTATGGATACCTGTATTTTTGCTACTGTTACTATGGATACTTGTATTTTGATGGTTTAAAGATTAACGAGAAACTAGTTGACGAAAAATCTTCGTTCAAATATTACCCTAAATTTTCATAACACCTTTGATTTTAAACAAAATTACATCGCAACTTCGTACTTTTGCTTCACGAAAACTCTCGGATATAGGAAATGTGATATACCGTGAAAAAGCAGATTTTATTCCCAATTTGTATATTTCTTCGATAAAAATATCTCTCTAAAATTCGGGGTTCCAGTTTTATTCCTATTTGCTCTAATGTTACTAATCAGAAAGTAACGGCACACTGCACACGAACTCTTCAGATCAACAGTTTTAAGTATTCCTGATCGTTTAGCTTTAGTTTGTACCCGTGCCACCATTACAATTGGTTGCTAGGTAACTGTTGCTAGGTAATTACAATTGGGCTAAACTGTAAATGTGAGCTGCGAGCTGCGTGCAGTAGGCATGGTAACAAGATAACCCGGGGTAGACGAGATTCACATTTCCTGGTCACGTGGTACAATTGTGTTGCTAGGTAACTAGTGATGCTGTCATCTTATTAGTTGCTAAACTGTCACGTGAGTAGTCATAGTACCGCGATTAGATTGTCGGATTTCTCACTGTTGTGTCTCCGCTATTTCGTTCGTGCTTATCCTGCTTCTGTTGCTAGGTAACTGTTGCTAGGTAACTGTTGCTAGGTAACGTGCGTATCCTGCTTGATTATCCAAACTATTCTACTCTTCAACTGTAGGTGATATTCCCGATCATTACCGTTTAGACAAAGTGCAATATTAAATATCATCGCCAGAATTATTCACTGACGGAATCCTGTGTAATATTGTGTAATCCTGTGTAATCCTGTGTTGGCTGAAACATGTCTGCAGAAGTATTAGTGTATTTTTACCGAAAAGAACTAGCATTTATACAATACACAGATTATATAAGATATTATAAAGATAAAACAGCTTGAGACTAGTCTAGGATGGGAAATTTTTCACCTGGTCATGGTTTTTGTCTGTACAAATTGAGGCTACATAGTTTGATATTTAAATATTTAGCTGCATCTCATTGCCTAATGTTTAAGAACAGAACAAACTTGTAGTTGTCAAACGCAAATTTTATTGCTTAATTTTAGCATTATTATAGTATTAGTAATAATAATATAAGGGTTTGGGCTGGATTACGTTTAACGACATAACAAGGAATACAAGGAATAAAAGGAATACAAGGAATACAAATTTAAAATCTTAAGTTACAATAGTAACTGTTAAGATAATGACAATATCATAAGATTTAAATTTATTATATTAATATAACTTAAACTAAAGTGAAAAATAAAGATTTTGACGACTGATCCTAATGGCCAGAATGTAGTAAAACTAAGTTACAATATTTAGTTAGTGGGTCCTCTACCTGCTACCTACCTCTCCCTATAGTCTACCAATGAGTTAGGATGAAACATCAAACATTCGTGAGGTTTACCCAATTCTAAAAGCCTATTCTTACCATTTTATTTTCTTCTTAATTAATTATTACAACAAAGAAACTTTTTCGACTCATTTAAAACGGATGATGAAATGACAAATTTAAAAGTTGAAATCATAAAATTGTAATTTTGCCAAACAAGACCGATTCAATTGAAAAATGAAAAACTTCTTTCACAGTAATGATTTCTGATGATCTCAGTATTACGTCACTGTCGACGTCACACCTACTATAGATTAGCGCAACACGTGACGTCACTGGTGATGTCACACTATAGATTAGCGTAACCATGGTAACACGTGATACCCCCATTAGGAGATCTAGTAAACGAGCACTGTAACGAGCGAGAATCCCCTCCAGTGGGATAACCAGCGAGCAGTTAATTAGTTAATTAGTTAATTAGCAATTAGCTAATGGTGGAGGTGATGAATTATCCCGCGTTCTGCTGGCGCGGTGTACACGGTATCCTAGCAACGGTGTGTACTAGTATTTTTAGAAATTAGATTGTGTCATTAACACAGAGTTACAGTAAAATACACGTTTCCATAGTAACACGCGCTTTTCACACGCTTCCTAAAAATAGTCTAATTAACAATAGTTCCTTACCCATTTTTACTGTACTACCACTTTTTACTGTGCCACCAATTTTACTGTGCCACCAATTTTACAGTGGTGCCATTTTCTTTGCCAAATTGTTTGATGACTTTCGTTTTTCGTCTGTGTTACCAGGGTTACTGTGTTCTAAACAGTAAATAATAATAACAGACGATAATTTGTTTTCTGACGGGAGATATGCATTAAATGGTCGTGTGGAATTACAGTTGTTCACTTGACTCGCTGTTAGTGTTGTACTACTACTAGTACTACTACTACTAGTACTCGCTGTTGTTTTTGTACTACTAACACTAGTGGCTTCAGTTTCAGAATAGTTTGATCTTATTTTTTGAAGGGCGTTGAGACTTTAATTTTAATTTTGGCGTTGGATTGTGGACAAAATAAGATTAAAATACAAAGCTTCATTCAGGAAACTTGTTTTCCATCCCAATTCCCATGTTTATACCCTAGTACTACTACCATGTTTAATGTTTATAAATGCAAGATGACACGTGTAAGACAGTAAGTAACTGTAAGTAACCCTCTCCCCCTCAGTGATGAGTAATGTGATGTTGAGAGTGCTCCCCCTCCTCCTCTCCCTGCTCCCCGGCTACCACGCTGTGTTCCCTGCCCGGTGTACACACCCCTCTGGTACACTGACAGGGGAGATCGAGTTAGAGTCACGTGACGGCAGTCAGGATAAAGTCACTAGAACTGTTATCAGTAGTAATATAGCACTGGATGAGACGTTGTGTTACAAGATTACTTATAACTTTACTAAGAGAGATGGGAGACAAGAAACTAAGAGAGTTCTGTACACGCTAGAGTATGATAATCTTAAACACGTGTACAACTATAAGAACTCTTACGAGTTCGCTATTCCCTCCACTGATATGACTTGTTGGTGTGACTGTCCTGGGGGCAGTAACCAGTGTGACAGTGATACTAACTCTTGTGGAAAGTAAGTATAATAACCAGTATCCTAGCAACCAGTATCCTAGCAACCAGTATCCTAGCAACCTCTTAGAAGTATCTTAGCAACCACTTAGAAGTATCTTAACAACCATTGAGTAAAATCCTAGCTAGCACTGAGTTGTATCCTAGCAACCACTTTCTGTTTTAGCAACTATCTAGTAGTATCCTAACAACCACTTTAAATAACAGTTGTCATGGTAACACTATATTACAGTAACAGTTGTCATGGTAACTCTATATTGCAGTAACAGTTGTCATGGTAACACTATATTTCAGTAACAGTTGTCATGGTAACACTATATTTCAGTTACAATAAGAACGAAGACACGTGTGTAAACTGGTATGAGGACGGACAGACTCTAGACGGTTGTGTGTGGATAACAGGCTCAGGACAGAGTTGCTGCAGTTTGAACATAGAGCGGTTCTCGGCAGACACTTTTAAAGCAGTGGAGATCTCCAGTCCTATAACACGTGCTCAACTGAGACTGAACGTTATCAACCTGGATACCAGCCAGAAACTGGTTAAAGATAAGATTTATAACGTGGATCTAGATACTGGCACCACTGCAGATGAGCTGGGTAAATAGTTGTTGTGGTAACAATAACAGTACTTTACATTTATAGTCTATTCAACCTTTACATTTTACAAAATAAAGATACAGTCTAAACTCCCTCACTCTTACTTACCCTCTAACTGACCCCCTCCCCCTTACTTACCCTCTAACTGACCCCCTCCCCCAGTGACGCTAAATATCGCCACGTCCAGTACATCCAGTCTCCTGCCAGCTGGATGGTATTTTGGCAGGAGGGGGTCCGGCGAGCTGAAAACTAACGTCAAGATCAACGGGTAAACATTTTAGTTTTAGGTGTATTACAATCATTACACTATAATATGTATCTAGTTAAGTTCTAAATAACAAATAGCTAACACAGCCCTAACGCCAAATCTCCCTCACTAGCAAATTTAAATAAGAGTAGATGTAATTCCTGAGTATAACAAGTGAAAGTGAAAGTGAAAGTGAAAGTGAAAGTGAAAGTGAAAGTGAAAGTGAAAGTGAAAGTGAAAGTGAAAGTGAAAGTGAAATTGAAAGTGAAAGTGAAAGTGAAAGTGAAAGTGAAAGTATATTTCAGGTTGAACGAGTGGAATATGAACAAGTTAGGCTGGTTTAAAATACAGCACGGCTTTGAGACGATCAGGAAGAGTACTGTCAGAGATGCTTTCTCGGCAACGACTCAGAGTTGCGGGGAGAACCAACTAAACACAAGTAAGTTTACAAAACCGGTTACTAAGATATCCTGGCTACCTGGTTACCTGGTTACCTGGTTACCTGGTTATCTGGTTACATGATTATTTTGTACTACAGCTGATTTGTGCCATAAAAATCGAATAGTTAATGTGAGAAATGTAATAACGACGAATTCTAAACCCAGATTTTGCTGCAAACTACTACGACAGGTACCCCACTGAAGCAGAGACAGTGGAATCCTTTCTTTTTAGTAAGGTAATCACTTTCATTTTCTCTTTAACATAATGATTATTTTCACATTCTTTTAAGTAAGAAATCATCTTCGCTTTCTCTTAGCGAGGAATCACTTTCTATTTGGCAAAATGAACACCATCACTTCTCATCTCATGTTCTGGTAAATGAGATGTAAAATTGAGCAGGTAGACCGAGTGATCAGAAACGACAGTTCGCGACAAGTTGTAGCTTATCACCGGACCTCTCCCCGACTTGACATCACCCTTACTTTCAACGAGCAGAGTGATGTGACCTTCCTATACGATGAGAGCTATTTGGAGGACTTTCACGGAGCAGTATTCCTGGACAAATATTCCAACAGATATCTCAATATTACATTGATAGGGGGGAGTGGCAGCATTGTGGGTACTATAAAGGTTAGTACAACAGATACCTCAATATTACATTAATAGGGGGGAGTGGCAGCATTGTGGGTACTATAAAGGTTAGTACCTTCACTCGCATCCTTTTTAAAACATTAATTTGTATAACAATTTAACTAAATATTTATAATATACACTAAATTTATCATAATATTGTCTATTTTATTAAATCCCCGCAGAACCACCAGACAGAGGGAGATAATATTGTCTATTAATTTATTAACCTCCGCAGAATCACCAGACAGAGGGAGATAATTTCTACGTTTATATTCCCAGCGTCAGTAAACTTCCTTATCAGAAGTTTGTTAGAATCAGCTCTACTTGTAGACAAACTGAAGAACTGATGAAGACTGAAGTGTGCGTCAAACCACTGGGCCCTGAAACTAAACGTCTTTGTAAACAGGTACTGTCACCATGGTAACATCACAAGTCACCATGGTAACATCACAAGTCACCATGGTAACACCACAAGTCACCATGGTAACACCACAAGTCACCATGGTAACACCACAAGTCACCATGGTAACATCACCATGGTAACACCACAAGTCACCATGGTAACATCACAAGTCACCATGGTAACACCACAAGTCACCATGGTAACATCACCATGGTAACACCACAAGTCACCATGGTAACATCACAAGTCACCATGGTAACACCACAAGTCACCATGGTAACACCACAAGTCACCATGGTAACACCACAAGTCACCATGGTAACACCACAAGTCACCATGGTAACACCACAAGTCACCATGGTAACATCACAAGTCACCATGGTAACACCACAAGTCACCATGGTAACATCACCATGGTAACACCACAAGTCACCATGGTAACACCGCAAGTCACCATGGTAACATCACCAGTCACCATGGTAGCATCACCATGGTAACACCACAAGTCACCATGGTAACACCACAAGTCACCATGGGAACACCACAAGTCACCATGGTAACATCACCATGGTAACACCACAAGTCACCATGGTAACACCACAAGTCACCATGGGAACACCACAAGTCACCATGGTAACATCACCATGGGAAAATCACCAGTCACCATGGTAACATCACCAAGCACCGAGTATCTTTATCACTACCAAGTAACCATAGTTACCGCTACTTAGTAACCATAGTTACCACTACACACTGCACAGGTTATCTGTTTGGAGGATGAGAACCGGAACTTTGTTTTACCAGAGGACGATATAAAGTACGAGAAAGCAGAGTATGACGATATCCTGTCTCTAACGACGTGGGGGAAGTACCTGAACCCAATACAATGGTTCAGCGGAGGGAAGCCGGGTTGGGTGGAGGGTGTGGTTATAGCTGTCTTCCTGCTTCTCCTCTCAATACTAGTGGGCATTATTGTTAAACTAGTCCGCGTCTTTAACTGCATCTTCAAGTGTCTGACGTGCTGTAGGAAGTCTAAAGACAAGTACGCTAAGGTGAGAGAGAGGGCCCTGCACCGGAGGGGGGCTGGGGACAAGGTTAAAAGTGTGGTGGCCTCTAAGAGACCCAACTCTAGGTCCCTCGTTAGGGAGGATAGTTTAACAGACGATTTACATTACATAGTTGTTAACGACAATACGCAGGAGAATGAATATGAGACGTTACCCGGACGTGTTAGATTTAATAGTAACCAGTTCTTCACTAGTAAGAAGTGGGCCTTTTAACAGTGAATAATGCTAGTTAGTTATTTAGTTAGTTAGTTAGTTAACAGTAACTAATGCTAGGCACTAGTTTAGTTATTAAGTTAGTTAGTTAACAGTAACTAATTCTAGTTAGTTATTTAGTTAGTTAGTTAACAGTAACTAATGCTAGTTTATAGTTGTCAAGTTACTACGAATTATCTAGAGATTAGGACAATTAGTTACAAATTTATCTGATGAATATTTGTTAAGCAGTAATGAACGTTATTGTTACCTGGTTACCTGGTTACCTGGTTACCTGGTTACCTGGTTACCTGGTTACCTTGTTACCTGGTTACCTGGTTACCTGGTTACCTGGTGACCTGGTGACCTGGTTACCTGGTTACCTGGTTACCTGGTTACCTGGTTACCTGGTTACCTGGTTACCTGGTTACCTGGTTACCTGGTTACCTGGTTACCTGGTTACCTGGTTACCTGGTTACCTGGTTACCTGGTTACCTGGTTACCTGGTTACCTGGTTACCTGGTTACCTGGTTACCTGGTTACCTGGTTACCTGGTTACCTGGTTACCTAGATCATGTCTAAACACAGGGAAACATTTTCAGAGACCAACTTGGTTAAACACAAAGATGTATGTGAAACGAAAAGGCTCGGAATGTTCTAACGATTCCTCTTAAGAAGATCATGACGCCCACACTAGCGCGTTGTCATGGTGACGCGTGATGTCACGTGATGTGTTGTCATGGCGACGTCATGTCACGTGACGTCACATTGCATGGTGTGTTGTGTGTGCATCTTATGAGCCTTTTCTAAGTTATTTTATTTTTACTTCTTCCCGTCCTAGCTAATTAGTTTATGCGGAAGAAATATTTACAGTTAATTTTACGTTTTCACTTTGTAGGTATAATTTAACGCTAATTTGCATATAGTTTTACCAGTCAATTAAACGTATCAATTTATTTATTGTCATAATTTGATTGGACTATTTTCTACATTTGCATAATTTGATATTAATTTAATCGCGGTTTCCAATCCCCAAGTGCATAATTACACAAATAATTGGACTTTCCTGGTAGTGCATATTTGTGAACTTAGATGAAATAACAACGGAAGTTCATTTGTGTATTCATTCTTTGTGGATCAGGATAGCATATCAAATTTAAAAAATCATTGAGAACGAAATGTTTGAGAGGTAAGTATTTTAAATTTTAATGTCAATAATCAACCATGGTTTGAAATTGTAAAGATGTTGATTGTTGTAATGGACAGTTGGAATGTGATGAGTATTTGGAATTCATTGATATTTGAAATAAAACGTTACAGATTTGTAAATACCATAAAATTACAGTTAGGATCGGTCACATATTTGTTAGGCCCCTTATGAACTGCCCTTTATTTGTTACCTGGTTACCTGGTTACCTGGTTACCTGGTTACCTGGTTACCTGGTTACCTGGTTACCTGGTTACCTGGTTACCTGGTTACCTGGTTACCTGGTTACCTGGTTACCTGGTTACCTGGTTACCTGGTTACCTGGTTACCTGCCCTTTATTGACCCCTCCCTCTCGTTACATTAGTTAAGCATGTTTTACACTTTACAGTGACGTACAAGGGTGGAGTTTTAATAAAATGTTATAAAATTCTAAAGTTTAATTCATTGAATTGCAAACAGTTTGATGGAATAAATAAACATTGTGAGCTATTGCATTTTATTTTATCACAAATTACAAAACATTTTTGAAATAACAGCTTTAAGAAAAGTAACTTTTAAAGGTTCGATTGCTCACTAGCACGTTGTCTTGGTGACGCGTGATGTCACGTGATGTGTTGTCATGGGAACGCGTGATGTGACGTGATGTGTTGTCATGGTGACGCGTGATGTGATTAATGATATCAGTATTATTAGAATTTAGAGAACAGTTTTAATATGAGATAATTTTATATTTATGCTGATGATAATGCGAATTAAATTTTCTTACCTTAATCTCAACTAGTTTTTTACTTAAAATAACTCGTTTTACTTTTAGTTCCTTATTAATTTCGAAAATGAAATAAGTAGTTTTATAAATCATAAGTTTGTAGTTTTTTTCGGTAAATGGTTAGTTAAATAACTACATATTTTAGTTTAGTTTAATTTAACTGGCATAGTTAGTAGTCATATTGATTAAGTTACTAACTGGCGTTCTAGGACCCTGGTTACCATGTTGCCCGGTTATCCCCAGTTACCCAGATTACCCGGTTACCTGGTTACCCGGTTACCCGGTTACCCGGTTACCCGGTTACCCGGTTACCTGGTAACCTGGTTACCCGGTTACCCGGTTACCTGGTTACCCGGTTACCCGGTTACCTGGTTACCCGGTTACCCGGTTACCTGGTTACCTGGTTACTCGGTTACCTGGTTACCCGGTTACCCGGTTACCTGGTTACCTGGTTACCCGGTTGGTTACCCTGGTTACCCGACGCGCAGCTCCGTTTCATAATGATCCATATTTATTATTTATTTATATAAATGTTTGCTGTGCATCAGTTTGTAGCTAGTATCTTAAACTTAAAACTTAGCCGTTGAAAGAAAAAATTCTAATTTCCGGTCGACTGTGGGACTATTTTAGCCGAAGTAAAAAATGTGGCTTAGATCTAGTTCTATTGCTGCAGAGAGAAAAGGCTCTGTTAACGTTGGTACTTTGAGTACGCCAGGTTCTGTAGTTAGTTTAGATTCTGTAGGCCGGGTGGTGTAGTGGTAACACGGCCGGGTGGTGTAGTGGTAACACGGCCGGGTGGTGTAGTGGTTACCTGGTTACTCGGTTACCTGGTTACCTGGTTACCTGGTTACCTGGTTACCCGGTTACCCGGTTACCCAGATTACCTGGTTACCTGGTTACCCTGGTTACCCTGGTTACCCGAAGCGCAGCTCCGTTTCATAATGATCCATATTTGTGAGAGAAACGACTCAAACAAGCCATAGATTAGCTTTTCAGATATATATTTTGCTGTGCATCAGTTATAAAATTCGTTATGTTGGTCTATACAATTTGTAGCTAGTACCTTAAACTTAAAGCTTAGCCGTTGAAAGAAAAAAATTATAATTTCCAGTCGACTGTGGGACTTTTTTAGCCGAAGTAAAAAGTGTGGCTTAGTTGCTGCAGAGAGAGAGGGCTCTGTTAGCGTTGGTACTTTGAGTACGCAAGGTTCTGTAGTTAGTTTAGGTTCTGTAGGCCGGGTGGTGTAGTGGTAACACGACCGGGTGGTGTAGTGGTAACACGGCCGGGTGGTGTAGTGGTAACACGATCGCCTCCCAAGCAGAAGGCCCGGGTTCTAATCCGGTCAGATGCAAGTCGGCCAGTTACCAAGCTGTGATTTGGTACAGCTTCTGCTGGTGATACGCACTCTCTGGCTCGTAGGACTAACCCCCCTACAGCTAGTATAGTGCCTCGGCACAGAGTGGCTTAGGGTTAATGAAAAGGAGATAAGCACCTCCGGCCATCCCAACTCTCGGGAGAGACCTGCCCTTGTATCTTGTTGTTGTAGGTATTGTAGGAACTGTAGGTATTGTAGGAACTGTAGGTATTGTAGGAACTGTAGGTATTGTAGGAACTGTAGGTATTGTAGGAACTGGACTGGAGTTCCAGGTACAAGATAACTCAGATGGGCGGAAGTAATGCTGGTTACCTGGTTACCAAGGGTGGAAGTAATGCTGGTAACCTGGTTACCAAGGGTGGAAGTAATGCTGGTTACCTAGTTACCAAGGGTGGAAGTAATGCTGGTTACCTAGTTACCAAGGGTGGAAGTAATGCTGGTTACCTAGTTACCAAGGGTGGAAGTAATGCTGGTTACCTAGTTACCAAGGGTGGAAGTAATGCTGGTTACCTAGTTACCAAGGGTGGAAGTAATGCTGGTTACCTAGTTACCAAGGGTGGAAGTAATGCTGGTTACCTAGTTACCAAGGGTGGAAGTAATGCTGGTTACCTAGTTACCAAGGGTGGAAGTAATGCTGGTTACCTAGTTACCAAGGGTGGAAGTAATGCTGGTTACCTAGTTACCAAGGGTGGAAGTAATGCTGGTTACCTAGTTACCAAGGGTGGAAGTAATGCTGGTTACCTGGTTACCAAGGGTGGAAGTAATGCTGGTTACCTGGTTACCAAGGGTGGAAGTAATGCTGGTTACCTAGTTACCAAGGGTGGAAGTAATGCTGGTTACCTGGTTACCAAGGGTGGAAGTAATGCTGGTTACCTGGTTACCAAGGGTGGAAGTAATGCTGGTTACCTGGTTACCAAGGGTGGAAGTAATGCTGGTTACCTGGTTACCAAGGGTGGAAGTAATGCTGGTTACCTGGTTACCAAGGGTGGAAGTAATGCTGGTTACCTGGTTACCAAGGGTGGAAGTAATGCTGGTTACCTGGTTACCAAGGGTGGTAGTAATGCTGGTTACCTGGTTACCAAGGGTGGAAGTAATGCTGGTTACCTGGTTACCAAGGGTGGAAGTAATGCTGGTTACCTGGTTACCAAGGGTGGAAGTAATGCTGGTTACCTGGTTACCAAGGGTGGAAGTAATGCTGGTTACCTGGTTACCAAGGGTGGAAGTAATACTGGTTACCTGGTTACCAAGGGTGGAAGTAATGCTGGTTACCTGGTTACCAAGGGTGGAAGTAATACTGGTTACCTGGTTACCAAGGGTGGAAGTAATACTGGTTACCTGGTTACCAAGGGTGGAAGTAATGCTGGTTACCTGGTTACCAAGGGTGGAAGTAATGCTGGTTACCTGGTTACCAAGGGTGGAAGTAATGCTGGTTACCTGGTTACCAAGGGTGGAAGTAATGCTGGTTACCTGGTTACCAAGGGTGGAAGTAATGCTGGTTACCTGGTTACCAAGGGTGGAAGTAATGCTGGTTACCTGGTTACCAAGGGTGGAAGTAATGCTGGTTACCTGGTTACCAAGGGTGGAAGTAATGCTGGTTACCTAGTTACCAAGGGTGGAAGTAATATTCTGCAGAGATAGGGAGGGACACATACCGAACATTCTAACGGACACTTGTCCGGTCTCCCAGCAGGAACCTGTCCTTACAGTGGGCCTAACCAATCAGAGAGCTCTATTCTGGTCAGCTGCCCCAACCTGACCAATCAGAGACCTGTATTTGACCTGGCTGAAGGTTCGTGGAGCAGAAAAGAGGGGTATAAGAGGAACTTGGAAACTACTACATGGGGGTAGACTGTAAAGATAACCCCACCCTCTACCCTTAGATAACGCACTAAAATAAACTCAAGAGATATATATATAGAGTACAGAAGCCAGGGAGAGAAGCCTCACTCTGATCACTAGCCAATAAGAAGCCTGCATTCTGGTAGTTGACCAATCAGGAGGCTGTTTTCTAGTCACGTGACTTAGTACGTGCACAGGACCCTGATCTCCTGTAAATTGTCAGATATAACTTCTAGTGTTGTCCTGGTAACAGTAGTGTTGTCATGGTAACTTCTAGTGTTGTCCTGGTCGCTCGTCTTCCTTTTGTCTGCTTCCGATGCACTTCCAGCCGTAGCCATGCAACCATGCAACCGGGCAAACAGGTAACCAGGCAACCAGGTAACCAGGTAACCAAATGATCGGGTAACCAGATGACCGGGTAACCAGGTAACCAGGTAACCAGGTAACCAGGTAACCAGATAACCAGGTAACCAGGTAACCAGGTAACCAGGTAACCAGGTAACCAGGTAACCAGGTAACCAGGTAACCAGGTTACCAGGTAACCAGGTTACCAGGTAACCAGGTAACCAAGTAACCAGGTAACCAGGTAACCAGGTAACCAGGTAACCAGGTAACCAGGTAACCAGGTAACCAGGTAACCAGGTAACCAGGTAACCAGGTAACCAGGTAACCAGATGATCGGGTAACCAGCCGTGGCCCGTGGAGAGACGACTCACTTTTCCACTGCTTAGTGCGAAATAAATCATTAAGTTTTAGTATTTCACAGAATAGTCTGCAACACGAAATGTATCTCCTGTTGACAACCGGGCAAACAGGTAACCAGGCAACCAGGTAACCAGGTAACCAAATGATCGGGTAACCAGATGACCGGGTAACCAGGTAACCAGGTAACCAGGTAACCAGGTAACCAAGTAACCAGGTAACCGGGTAACAAGGTAACCAGGTAACCAAATGATCGGGTAACCAGGTAACCGGGTAACCAGGTAACCAGGTAACCAGGTAACCAGGTAACCAGGTAACCAGGTAACCAGGTAACCAGGTAACCAGGTAACCAGGTAACCAGGTAACCAGGTAACCAGGTAACCAGGTAACCAGGTAACCAGGTAACCAGGTAACCAGGTAACCAGGTAACCAGGTAACCAGGTAACCAGGTAACCAGGTAACCAGGTAACCAGGTAACCAGGTAACCAGGTAACCAGGTAACCAGGTAACCAGGTAACCAGGTAACCAGGTAACCAGGTAACCAGGTAACCAGGTAACCAGGTAACCAGGTAACCAGGTAACCAGGTAACCAGGTAACCAGGTAACCAGGTAACCAGGTAACCAGGTAACCAGGTAACCAGGTAACCAGGTAACCAGGTAACCAGGTAACCAGGTAACCAGGTAACCAGGTAACCAGGTAACCAGGTAACCAGGTAACCAGGTAACCAGGTAACCAGGTAACCAGGTAACCAGGTAACCAGGTAACCAGGTAACCAGGTAACCAGGTAACCAGGTAACCAGGTAACCAGGTAACCAGGTAACCAGGTAACCAGGTAACCAGGTAACCAGGTAACCAGGTAACCAGGTAACCAGGTAACCAGGTAACCAGGTAACCAGGTAACCAGGTAACCAGGTAACCAGGTAACCAGGTAACCAGGTAACCAGGTAACCAGGTAACCAGGTAACCAGGTAACCAGGTAACCAGGTAACCAGGTAACCAGATGATCGGGTAACCAGCCGTGGCCCGTGGAGAGACGACTCACTTTTCCACTGCTTAGTGCAAAATAAATCATTAAGTTTTAGTATTTCACAGAATAGTCTGCAACACGAAATGTATCTCCTGTTGACTTCCACTCGGTCTAAACATTGTAAACTTTTTGTGAATTAAAAGAAGCCGAAAGAAGTTACTAGGCCAGCTAGGGTGGTTTAAACGGTTTCCCGTTCATCTGATTGAGTGGACCAAGCGGATAAATAAACCCAATAAAGTCCTAACCTTGTTTCTATATCACTGTAACACTGTAACACTATACCACTGTAACACTGTAACACTGTAACACTGTAACACTGTACCACTGTACCACTGTACCACTGTACCACTGTACCACTGTAACACTGTAACACTGTACCAAGGTAAGTGCACTGACAGATCTAAAAACGGATAGACTTTATCTAAAGGGACATAATTCTGAACGCTAGGGCCTCCAGCGTTCAATTAGTGTCCGTTCAAATTAAGTCCGGTAAGTTATGTGGTTGATTGAGAGGTCGGGGATTACACAGGATTTACACAGGATTTACACAGGATTTACACAGGATTTACACAGGATTTACACAGGATTTACACAGGATTTACACAGGATTTACACAGGATATACACAGGATTTACACAGGATTTACACAGGATTTACACAGGATTTACACAGGATTTACACAGGATTTACACAGGATTTACACAGGATTTACACAGGATTTACACAGGATTTACACAGGATTTACACAGGATTTACACAGGATTTACACAGGATTAACACAGGATTTACACTGGATTTACACAGGTTTTACACAGGATTTACACAGGATTTACACAGGATTTACACAGGATTTACACAGGATTTACACAGGATTTACACAGGATTTACACAGGATTTACACAGTATTAACACAGGATTTACACAGGATTGTGCACTGACAGGTCTAATAATAGATTCTAATTAGCAGGTGACAGTCTTGCTTGTGTAAATAACTGCAGACATGCACTCAGCACTGTGTTATTTAGTGTATTTAGTGTTGTGTTGTTTCTCTAAAACTAACACTGCAAAATGTTGGAATGTATTTCTTATCAGTGTACAATTTACAGGGAGGTATTTGCTCCTTTATAATATTTAATGTACAGGGAGGTATTTGCTCCTTTATAATATTTAATGTACAGGGAGGTATTTGCTCCTTTATAATATTTAATGTACAGGGAGGTATTTGTAGAGCTAGCACTTCTCCCGTATTTCATTGCTACCTACCTTAGGCCAGGGTTTTACCCCACAGTCATTAAGTCATTAGCCCTGTGCAATGCTTATCAGCTTCAGCTAATGATAATTAATAATTGTTCCCAAATCCTGCACCACACTGTATGAAACTGAACAAGTTTTCAAATTTATTATATTTCAACGCTCGTCACTGCTAACCGTGGCCTTTTATTTGCTCCTTTATAATATTTTTTGTTGTTTAACAGTTTGATCTTGTTTCTAATTTCGTTGAGGGTCCTTTGTTCTATTATCTAGATATCCTAGTATCTTTGACATACGAGTAGTAGTCTTGACATGAGTATTACCTACGTTAAATATTATAAAGGAGTATTACGTTTTACTTAATTGTTTCTTATCTGAGTCTGCAATTTTGGCAAAAGGAAGCTAAAACAGGGCACAGGGACAAAACTTCATGTGTTGGTTGTTAAACTACTCATATAATCTCATGTTGCGATATTACGTTAGGCTGCTTTTAACTGTTAAATTTTAGCGGGAATTAAGGACAGAAATTTGCCAAATTTTCCGGTCTTAAGTCCTTCCGGCCAAAGTTTTCCGGTCGTGAGTTCTTCCGGCTCTAACTGTTTCCTTTGAAGACCAAAACAATATCAGACAAATATGCGGATAAGGTAGACAGTGGCGTAACGTTACCATTGTTGCTCCTTTATAATATTTACCATTTGGTACGCCACTGTCTGACCAACTGATTACAAAAAAAATTCTGACGACTGTAATTGGGGAGGGAATTTTAAAAAGGAGGGTTGTATAAACCTTTGTTTGCTTGGCTTTGTCTCTCAATTTCTATGTGCGTTGCTATGTACGTTGCTATGTGCGTTGCTATGAGATAATAAATAACACCGATGATTTACTCTCAGTGTTCAGAATGATCAGAGGTCTTTTCCCCTTTCTACTCTTAATCCATTCAACAGCTACTTCTTATAAAGGGTAAATAAACTTGTAATTGTTTACTGAGTTTCAACGTGTAAATATTGATTTGATTCCTTGTTGAATTGCTAAATATTTGGGATTTATTTTTAATGGAGCGAAACTTTCAAAATGTTTACAATTTATTCTTGGAAATGATTGATATTACTTTTACCTTATACATTATTTGATCGGAAATTACGTGAGTGCATACTACTGCTCCTTTATAATATTTAATGTACTACTGCCCGCCCAAAATAAGGTCAAATGGTATCTAGTGTAGTCACAGGGGGACTATAGTGCACTATAGTCCACCTGTGTAGTCAGGTCTAACTCTTTAGCACTCCTGACAAATAGTGAAATATTACAAGAGATTTTAACACATTTGAGCCCAGGGAGAAAGTTTACAGACTAGCCCTGGCGACAGAGAGGGATGTTGAGGACGTTTTTAGTTTTATTGAACATACTCGAGATTATGTGAGTACCACTACCACAGGAAGATTATTATTTTAGTTTTTTATGACTAGGATTTTTGCTCACCGGTACGTTTTCCAATATACCGACCATTGAGGCAGAGCCCAACATTTTGTCATTTTTTAATGATTAATAAAACAAATATTTTAATAAAACAAATATTTATTTTTACGGCACAATCAAACAATATCAATAATAAATAAATCAGGGGAGGTTTGAAGAGGTTTCAAGTGCCGAAGGCCACTGCTTATCTTTAGGATTTGAGAGTGATCTGTGCTTAAAACCCCCTCAACCATCCACTACGTCAATATACTTATTATACAATTAATATAGAAAAATATGATTATTTAAGCTAAACTTGCTTATTGGTCTAATTTGGTGACATAGGAGAGCCCAGTTGAGTTTTAGTTTAGGTTTGTGTTTTAAATCATAGTTTGAAAGGTTAGCCATGTTTCATGGCAGAGAGAGATATCATGTGTGCAGAGCCGTACCGGATGTAGAATTTGAGATATAATATAGATTAGTTACCATCTATTATGGTTTTGGAGGGTGTAGGTCGCCCCCTGCCCCCTCTTCCTAAACCCCTGCCTAAGCTTGTTGAAGTAATATATTCAGTTAGCTGATTATCTGATTAGCTGATTAGCTGTTTAGCTGATTAGCTGATTATCTGATTAACTGATTAGCTGATGAGCTGATGAGCTGATGAGCTGATTAGCTGATTTGCTAATTTGACCCGATATAATATCCCAGTTAGATTATTGGTCTACGGAGTTGCATGTCGGAGGACATGTTGATGTTCGGTTATCAAAACAGCAAGCTCAGCTCCTGGAAACTCAGCAGCTGCATAACATCTCATATTCTGTTCAAATAGATGATATCCAGAAACTTCTCAGTCGGAGTGGAAGGTAACGGCTGTTTTTCTTCTAATATTAAAATCATCTAACTATCGTATATTTAGTATCCTTACTGATATACAAATACTTACTAATTTCACTCATTTTAACGAATTTTGTATTATTAGCAGCAGGACGAAACGCTCGAGCGATGTTGACTACGTTTATACGAAGTACAACAACGCAGCAGCTACCCACAGAGAGATGTACCGATTAGCAGCCCTGCACCCCAACATTACTAGACTTGTGGGCGTCGGGAGTACCCACCAGGGCAGACCTCTCCTAGTCATGGAAATAGTGGTAAATACCCTCCTCCCTCCTCCCTCCTCCCTCCTCCCTCCTCCCTCCTCCCTCCTCCCTCCTCCCTCCTCCCTCCTCCCTCCTCCTCCTCCCTCCTCCCTCCTCCCTCCTCCCTCCTCCCTCCTCCCTCCTCCCTCCTCCCTCCTCCCTCCTCCCTCCTCCCTCCTCCCTCCTCCCTCCTCCCTCCTCCCTCCTCCCTCCTCCCTCCTCCCTCCTCCCTCCTCCCTCCTCCCTCCTCCCTCCTCCCTCCTCCCTCCTCCCTCCTCCCTCCTCCCTCCTCCCTCCTCCCTCCTCCCTCCTCCCTCCTCCCTCCTCCCTCCTCCCTCCTCCCTCCTCCCTCCTCCCTCCTCCCTCCTCCCTCCTCCCTCCTCCCTCCTCCCTCCTCCCTCCTCCCTCCTCCCTCCTCCCTCCTCCCTCCTCCCTCCTCCCTCCTCCCTCCTCCCTCCTCCCTCCTCCCTCCTCCCTCCTCCCTCCTCCCTCCCTCCTCCCTCCTCCCTCCTCCCTCCTCCCTCCTCCCTCCTCCCTCCTCCCTCCTCCCTCCTCCCTCCTCCCTCCTCCCTCCTCCCTCCTCCCTCCTCCCTCCTCCCTCCTCCCTCCTCCCTCCTCCCTCCTCCCTCCTCCCTCCTCCCTCCTCCCTCCTCCCTCCTCCCTCCTCCCTCCTCCCTCCTCCCTCCTCCCCTCCTCCCTCCTCCCTCCTCCCTCCTCCCTCCTCCCTCCTCCCTCCTCCCTCCTCCCTCCTCCCTCCTCCCTCCTCCCTCCTCCCTCCTCCCTCCTCCCTCCTCCCTCCTCCCTCCTCCCTCCTCCCTCCTCCCTCCTCCCTCCTCCCTCCTCCCTCCTCCCTCCTCCCTCCTCCCTCCTCCCTCCTCCCTCCTCCCTCCTCCCTCCTCCCTCCTCCCTCCTCCCTCCTCTCTCCTCTCTCCTCCCTCCTCCCTCCTCCCTCCTCCCCCTAATAACTAATGATTTCAGGGAACAAATAAGGAGAGGAACTGCCCGATGGTGTGGGTGGATGGAGGTCTCCACGCCAGAGAATGGATCACTGTGGCTGCTTCAATGCTCTTCATTAAGAAGCTGTTAGATGGCTACGGGACTGATGACTACATAACTGACTTGCTTGATAAAACCAAGTTTGCGATTCAGCCGCTGGCGAACCCGGACGGTTACGCATACTCCTGGAATAGTGAGAGACTCTGGAGGAAAAATAGATCACCTACTTCTGTAGCCTGGTGCAAGGGAGTTGATCTGAACCGAAACTTCGACATTAACTTTGGAGGTGAGCCATGGTTTCAAATTTCCTACTTTCACTTCCACTTAAACTACTTTCACTTTCACTCTGATTGCTGGTTATAAATAAGATAAACTAACTGTTGGCATGGTAACAATAAGATAAACTAACTGTTGTCATGGTAACAGGACCAGGGGCTAGTGATTTCTCCTGCTCTGAGATCTACAACGGCCCCAACGCGTTTAGCGAGCACGAATCACAAGGAATAGCTCGTTACCTGTCCAGCGTGAGACACAAACTGCTGGCCTACTTCTCCTTGCACTCTTACGGGCAGATGTGGCTCACACCTCTCAGTTACACCAGGAGGAAGGTTGAGGACCGCTCCGCACATGTGAGATCCTCATTTCTACTTTCACTTTCACTTTCATTTCGAGTTTCGTTCACTCTCCTCGTTTACAATGCTGTGGTTTAATAAGTTTACTGTCTCACAGTTGGACGTTGCTGACCACGCTACACGGGCAATAAGAGAGCTGACCGGACATCGGTACTCTTACGGACCTGCCACAGTGCTCATGTGTGAGTTGCTTCGCTTTCACTTTCACTTTCGCTTCTACTATCCATATCAAATATTACATGTGTAGTGCTACCTTCAGCTAACTTAAACCCCTCTAGACGTGACGTCAGGAGACTCCTCTGACTGGGTGTACTCGGAGTTGGACTGTTCGCACACGTACGGGATAGAACTAGGAGATCTGGGACGGTACGGATTCCTCCTCCCTCCCTCTCATATCAAACCAGCGGGGAAGGTGGTGTCAGCCGGAATACTCTCCGCAGTGGAGTTCATCGCGACCAGCCCCACCAACCTTACCGGCAGGAAGCGTCTCCGCAAGTTTCGACGGAGGAAATGGAAAAGTTAAATGATATTGGTTGTTTTGCGGAGTGGTTGTGAGGCGTTGCTTGGCAACACTAACGAAGTGGGTGCTCGACTTTTGATCTCAGCTTTTCATGTCCTTTCGTTATTTTTAATCCTTAGTTGCAAAACGATGAACGCTGAATTAATTTATATATTTATTACATTGAAATATTTGATATTTTGATACATGTACAAATAAGATATTGAGTGTCGATGGCTAACCCCATGCTGCACGCAATAACAACATTAAACTCATTTTATTCTCTTGAGGTAAGTACCGTGATGTGAGTTGTTTAACTTTCACTTTCACTTTCACTATCCATTAACTAACTCATTTTATTCTTTTTAGGTAGGTACCGTGTTGTACTAAACCGTCCCCCGTAAATTCGAACTTTCCTTTTTCTTGACGACCCTGAAATTGATAATTTAGTCAGAAATTATTTAGTATACGAAAATAACATTTCCAAGACTTTATTATTATTCAAACCTGAGTTTGCAGTGGATCTATTCCGAAAAAAAACAGGCTCGAAGCGTGTTCCAATGAAACGATTCTTTTCTTCAATTGCAAGGAAACAGTCACCTACTTGAGGTTGCTTAGTTACCTGTTTGAGATTGCTAAGTTACCTGTTTGAGGTTGCTTAGTCACCTGTTTGAGGTTACTAAGGTACCTGTTTGAGGTTGCTAAGTTATTTTTTTGAGGTTGCTAAGCTCTAAGGTACCTGTTTGAGGTTGCTAAGGTACCTGTTTGAGGTTGCTTAGTTACCTGTTTGAGGTTGCTTAGTTACCTGTTTGAGGTTGCTTAGTATATTCCCCGAGGCAACAGCCCCAGCTAACCCCTCTATTAAGTCCCCAGTTTTTATTCTAACCAGATTACGTTTATGCTTCTTCGTTAAACTTCCTTTTCTATCCTGCAAGTCTGCAGACTCCTGGGTGGGGATATCTTTACAACAACAATAAGCAAGCTATATTATCTTTACAACAACAATAAGCAAGCTATTAAGCTATATTATCTATACAAACTGCTAATAATAACGTTAAAAAGAAGCAATACAAATTACTTAATCCTGCCCTGGTACTAGACATTTCTCTCAAACCTCAGGGATGTCCTGCAAGTTATCCTCCTTGTGTCTGACACTGTTAACATATCTCTTAACATTCTCCTTGACACTGTTAAGAGTGGAAGATAACACTCCGGGCGGGTCGGGAGGGTGAACTGAGGGGGCTAGAGTGGAGCCACTGTACGCTCTTACACCTCCTATAGTCGGCTTAGGGGGACTAGGCGCTGAAATATACAGAGTTTCCAGGGTTACCAGGGTTACCAGGGTTACCAGGTGGAGCCACTGTACGCTCTTACACCCCCTATAGTTGGCTTAGGGGGACTAGGCGCTGAAATATACAAAGTTACCAGGGTTACCAGGGTTACCAGGGTTACCAGGGTTACCAGGGTTACCAAGGTTACCAGGTGGAGCCACTGTACGCTCTTACACCCCCTATAGTTGGCTTAGGGGGACTAGGCGCTGAAATATACAGAGTGAAAGTGAATTCTTTGAAACTGCACTGGGGTTAAAACGAAATTAATAGCTTTCTAGTTTCTATTATCTTCTATAGAAACTCTTTTCAAATACTCACCTCGTGTCCTTTTGAAGGGCTCCCTTCTTGACGTCTGTAAAATAATAAAGTCAGGATTGTAAAAGATCCAAATTAATTAAATGAATAAAAGAACTAGTCGAGAGAAAAAGCAGATTTGGTCAAAATTGTAAATTGGCATGAAGGGCGTTGATTTTTAGATTTTTAGCCGCTTTTCTATTAAGACAGAGACAAATATTTTGGTGTAATCATATTCGAATTCAAAAATTATAAACAATCTACAAAAATGTAACTTAACAAACGGATCTTCTAGCTACTAAAATCAACAAACATTAATCAATAAATCTAAATCCACAAATAGATAAAACGATAAAAGGATGGTAGTTAGCCGAGATTCTCTAAAGACCTCTTAATAAAGCCAGGATTGTACTTGTCCAGCAGCTGATGCAGGTTCATGTCCCTAATGTCATGCTCGTACGTGCCAGGGTTACCAGGGTTACCAGGGTTACCAGGGTTACCAGGGTTCATGCCCCTAATGTCATGCTCGTACGTGCCAGGTTCTGAAACCTTGCTTCTATTTGAGGCACGGTCTGACCCAAACAAGGACCGGAGAGAGCCTGACCTGTTGAGTGAACCTGATAAGGACTTCTTAAGCTTCTTGAAGAGAGGGTGACCTGTTAAGTAACCAGTAGCAGTCTGTCCGGGTTTCTTGGAGAGGTCGAAGTCGAGGGAGTTAGCTCTGACTAGGTCGTTAGCGTGCTCAAGCTCCCTGTTCAGGTCTCTGATGTCTTGTAGAGATTGGAAACCTCTGTGTTTCAGCAGAGCTAGCTCTGGAACTCTTTCCACGGAGTGTTTTCTTCTTTTATTGAACGAGTTTTCTCTGCTGGGAATGTAAGACAAGGTTGTCACCTCTTCATTTTCTTCTTCTTCCTCGTGTTCATCTTGTTTTAGCTGTGCGAACCTTGGGAAACTGTACTTCGGACGTTTCTTAAGGATTCGGGAGAAGAAACCAGGTTTTCTAGCAGAAATATTAGGGTGCTCGTTTTCTTTTCCGTCAGCCTCCTCTTCACTGAGATGGTGTTTAAGCATTTCTATCTCTGATCTGAACTGGTTCTCCTCCTCCTCCTCCTTGAACTTATCTTCCCATTGATCGTCTAGCTTTGTTTTGGTTAGTTGATCCCACACATTGTGTTTACCATCAGGAGAGTTTAAGTGTAGCCGGGGTAATATCACCTTTTCCATCACCCTCTCCTCTGCTAATGAGTCAGCCACACTCCTCTTCAGACGGGTGCTCCCTTTTCTGAAGTGTTTAGCCAGTGTGTTCATTAAACCCTCCTCATCTGACAATATTCCCCCTGATCTCTTGGGTCTGGTGGAGATGTTCTCCTCGTCCGACTCAGTAGAGTCTGAGGAATGAGAGTAATACTCCTCAACTCTTTTCTGCTTGTTCTTCTTCCTCCTGGCTAGGTATTCTTTAACTTTCTTCATGATGAACTCTTCAGATAGAGACACAGAGGAGCCGCTAGTCAAGCTGCTATCTGACGAACTGTCAGAACTGTCAGAGCTGTCTGAACTGTCTGAACTGGAGTCAGAAGAGCTGGATTCGGTAGAGCTGGTTGGATAGTTAGCTGACTGGTTAGTATAAGACTGGTGTTTGAGAGCAGGACCCCGGCTTCGTCCTTTCCTGGTCCACCAGTCATCGTCTGAGTGGGGACCACTATCAGTGGGGAAGTGAGGTCTCCTAGCCCTGTTCTCACTCATAGAGCGCTGCAGGAGGGGGCGCCTCTTCCTCAGGTCCCCCCTTAACAACTTCTTCTGTTGTATAGCTTCCTCTATCTCCAGAGCAAGCTGCCGCTTCAGATCTGCAGTGGTTGGTTTTGTGGGAGAGTGAGAACTCATTATCTCCTGGGTGAGTAAACGAGTATACTGAGCTACCTCCTCATCAGTGTCTCCTCCTTCTTTCTCCTCTTTCCTCCTTAGAGACGATCTCAGTTTCCTACGTGGCTGTATCTCGTGCAGATTAGGGTAGAAGTTACTGGTGTCTCCGGTGGGAAGGATAGCCTCGCTCATGCTCCTCAGGTTAGGATACCTGGTGTCCTCCATCCTCTCCAGAGGAGGACTGTCTGCTCGCTCTATTGCATCACTAATCCTCTCACTATTGTTGAGGGAGGTGAGGAGTGTGGATATATGGTCTCCTTTGCTGAGGGGAGGGGTGTTTTCTGCAGGGAGGGACATGTCAGGAGGGTAGTGAGACTCTGTCTCCGGTACTGAGGTTCTGGGAGTAATGATAGACTCAGCATTATCAGCCTCCTTCACCAAAGTGTTGATATCCCTGCCTATCTGCACCGGTATCTGCTCCCTCCTACTCTCCAGGAACCTAACAGACCTGTTGCTAGCTCTGTTCCTCATACTACCCCCTACTGATCTAATACTGCTGCGTTTAAAGGACCGTCTCATACCCGGGTCCTCACTTCTGGAATCAGGGACTGAGTCCTCTAGTTTAGGATAAAGCTGACTAACCTGCTCTACTGGGAGGGACTCCTCCTCTCTGGGTCTGCTAGGAGGGGGAGGAGCAAGACGAGATTTGCCGTGTGAGGAGACAGGTTTGAGGGGCTGCCCAGGAAGAGGGTCAGCAGGGTTGGAACCACAGCTACTTGCACCAGTCACAGCACATCCTTGTTGAGGAGGGGTCTCTTCTTGAGGTCGGGGAGCAGGGGGTACAGGATGACCGGGGGCCGCAGTGTTGGAGTGTTGGGGAGGGTAGGGTGCAGGGTAACCACTGTACATGGGAGAGTATGGATAGTAAGGGGAGGGGTGTCTGTTGCCCCACATGTCCACCATTGGAGCCTGGTACATCCCTCCGAACATCTGGTTGGGGGGATACCCCGGGTACTGGGTAGTAGGTCCTCCTGGGTATGGGGCTGGGTTTGTTCCTGAGGGGTGGTTAGGAGGTAGACCTGGATGGTTGGCTGCAGGAGGAGGCTGGTAGGTTGTTTGAGGTTCTACTTTAGGTGGGGTCAGCGATGCAGGTTCTGGCATTTCAGGATAGAGTTGTTTGTTACCATGGTTACCAGAGAGAGGGTTCCTGTGCTGCGCATACATTGCCTTAGCTTTTTCAAACTCAATGTCCTGAATAGTGTCACGGCGGGGAGGGGTCCATTGTTTCCTCATTTTAGAGAAGTCCCCAGCTGAATCAGGTATATCTCCTCCAGACAAGGGCCCAGGGTTGGGATACAACTTGTTCTTCTTCAGAGACCTGACATGTTCTTTTATCCGCCCTATAGTGTCTCTTAAAGGACTCTTATTTGGCTCTGGGTCTGAATCCTCTGTTTTCTCCCTGATATAGGGAGAACCTTTAGAGACAATGTCTCCTCTGGATCTAGAGACGTTGTCTCCCCTGGAGACGAGGTCCTCATCAGGAGGGATCCTCTCTGCGTGCCTCTGCTTGTACCAATCTCTAGTATAGGGCAGCCCCTCGAACCCACAGTCCCCACAATCTGCCCAATCCTTCTCATCACTCCAAAACTCGTGCGCTTTTACTGAAAATCGGAACTTTTGTTAAACAGGGTTTTACACTTTCAACACTACTATATATATTAAGTAGTTTGAGTTATATAGATCTCTGATGATAATTATTTGAAGACTTCAAGATCATACCTGTGTAGTCGCATTCCCCCATCAAAATTAGATAAATGCAGAAAGCCCGATTTTAGGCGTCTAATGTAAAACTTTTAAAACAATTGTATTAACAATAATTTAAATAATAATTGTTAATACAATTGTATTAACTACATATTACAATACAATTATACTAACCAGGGTACTTCTGCCGAATAATAACGAACTCGGAGACTTGTGATCCTATAACTGTAATTGTCATGTCCAGCAGCTGGGTC